GAGGCTCAGGGGACTTAGTAAGTCGGCTATAAGTAGGGGTATAGTTGGGGTAACTCCATTTAGGGTACTTATAAATAACTATACTTATAACCAACTTACTAAGTCCCCTTGGGTTTCTGCATGGGGCCCTCCGGAGAGGAAAGGCCTGCGCAGGCATCGATCGTGGCATTGTAACTGATGACATCTGGAAGGACACTTGCCGAAGGCATCTGCGTGAGAATCTCTAATGCCACGTGGTGTTGCGATCCGTGCTCCAGAGCGCTGATGGCAGAGTTATAGCCTTATTTGGGGGTTTCCGAAAATAGGGGACCCTAGTATAGTACCCTAAATAGTAGGATCCCTATTATAAGGACCCCAAAATAAGGTACCCCCAATTTTGGGAAACTCCCATTTGTCTCCCCTCTTTCAGCAAGATGCAGGCTTATACGGGGAGGGTACCAACTCACAACGGTCAACACATACTTCATCGGCTGGCCAGCAGCTTATAACATCTGGATCAACACGAGCTTCTGGCATCTCAAGCAAAACCTGAAGGGCCTCCTCCCAGCTACCCGATCTTTCGCAGGCACTGATGGTGGCATTGAAGCCCACCACATCGGCAAGCTTAGCCTCCTGCAGGCAGGACAGCACCTCCAGCGCCTGCTCCCATTGTCCTCCTCTGACAGGTTCTTAGCAGGGAGTGGAGGAATGGGGTATTGGGACTACTATAGAGGACCTTAAGGGACTATCATAGGGATCCATTCCCCCACTCTCTGCGAAGAACCAGGATGTCCTTTCCCACAGGCGCTGATGGCCACATTACAACTGATCGCATTGGGTGTCAGATGTGCCTGCGCCATGCCTGCAAGCTGCTGAATAGCACTAAACCCCAAACTCCTAAACCCTAAACCCCCAAACCATAAACCCCTGAACCCCACACCGATAAACCCTAAACCCTAAACTCCCTAAGCCCTAAACTTTAAACCCTTAAAGCCCCTAAACCCTGAGCCTGGCCTGAAAGCAGCTGAGAGGCCATCTCCCAAGACTCGCCCGAGTCACATGCACTGATAGCCGAGCCAATGCTTATCACATCCTCGGTCATACGGCTGATGACATAAATCTAAACCCTTATAGATCCACCAAAGGAACCTTTAAAGGAACCCTAATACGGTTGATGATATAAATCCTGTATTGCCCACAATAAGGAATATACAATAATTCCCATAGTTTAGGGTCCTTAAGAGAGTGCAGGATTTATATCATCAGCAGTAGCTTAAGGGTTTAGGGTTTAGGGTTTTTACCAAGGGCCCCCAAGAAGCTTTTGGGGTTTAGGGTTTAGGGACCATCGGAGTGATCAAGAAATTCTTCCAGATTGCGATCTAGCATCCATAGCCATGCGCACATTCGGCATCCGGTGCAGAAGTAGTAGAGCCTTCTGCCACTCCGCACCCACCTCGAAGGCACTGAGGGCCGCGTTGAAGCTGACGACATTGGCACGAACCTGACAGGTCCTAGACAACATAGTTTGACTCACGCCCGAAACTCCTAAAATCTCTAATCCCCAAACCTACCCACCTTTGGGAGTCTAGTCTAGGAAGGCACAGAAGCCGCCATGATAAGTAAATGCTGAGGTTCCCTAAACCCTAAACCTGAACCCAAAGGGTCCTAGGTGCTGCTACGGGGGATACTTGCCCAAATCATGATAGAAATTCCGAACGTAGCAACCCCATCACGCCCTACATTCTACATAGGTACTTAGGACCCTTTGGGTTAACGGTTAAACTCTAAACATCCCTAAGCCGTGTAGGGCAGCAAGCAACGTCGGTCATGGGCAACGACACGAGAAAGTGGTGGGCTGCCCGCCACTTCTCAGCTCTCTCGTAGGCGGTGATTGCCTAGATTAGGGTTTAGGGTTTAGCGTTTAGGGCTAAAAGTATAGACTTCAATTTCATAATGGTTCCCTTAAGGAACAGGTCCCAAAAAAAAAGTGTTCAAGCATGGTACTCCAGAACTGAGTTGCAGAACTGTAGGTAACGATGTTAGGCTCAAGTCCACGGGCTGACCTGGGCCATTCAGGCATGGTCATGTGCGTAAAAAGCTACCTAATCTGCTTCTTCCCCGGTGAGGTATATGATATGTAGTTAGTTATAATCCCTAAACGTCCAGGTAGTCCTTATTTATGGTTTTAAGTACCCCCAAAAAGGCCCCAAAGTCCTCAAAATACAGAGTACTTGGACCCTTAGGGAATGGCAGACTCCCCCCAAATCCCAACCTACATGACCACAAGCCCAACATAGGGCCCCAACCCCCTTATAATGAAGCCCAATGAGGTAGGGACATGCCTTCAACATGCTTTTGCTTATGTTCTTTCTGGGTTCCTAAAACCCTGAACCCTAAACTACTAAACCCTAAACCCTAAACCCTAAACCCTAAACCCTAAACCCTAAACCCTAAACGCCGCAAGCCTTAAACCCAAAACCGAATTATCCGGTTCGGCGGATGTTTGGGCTAAGCTTACAGGCGCTCCTGGGCTCTTTTGGGGCTCAGGGGCTGAGGGGTTTGCGGCGTTTAGGGTTTAGGGTTTAGGGTTTTAGGGTTTATAAGCCCTAAACCCTACACCCCTCAACCCAAGACCCTAGGGTTTAGGGTTTAGCGGTCCTAAGCCCTAGAGCATACACCCCTCGACCCAAAAAACTCTAGGGTTTTGGGTCACAGGGTCCTAAGCCCTAAACCCTACACCCCTCAACCCAAAACCCTAGGGTTTTGGGTCACAGGGTCCGAAACCCTAAACCCTACACCCGTCAACCCAAAACCCTAGGGTTTTGGGTCACAGGGTCCTAAATCCTAAACCCTACACCCCTCAACCCAAAAAACTCTAGGGCTTTGGGTCACAGGGTCCGAAACCCTTTTAAACCCTACACCCCTAAACCCAAAAAAACCCTACGGTTTTGGGTCACAGGGTCCGAGACCCTAGACCCTACACCCCTAGACCCCAAAAAACCCAAGGGTTTATCGTCACAGCTGTTGACTTCAGTTGGCTTAGGGCGTCCCAAGGCTGGACTCCGAAACTCGAAAGTCTGACCTGCGCATGGGAAGACTCTGGGCGAGGGTTTGGGCTTAAGGGTTTAGGGCTGCTAGGGTTTAGGGTTTAGGGTTTAGGGATTAGAAATTAGGGTTTAGGGTTTAGGGTTTAGGCTTAAGGGTTTAGGGCTGCTAGGGTTTAGGGATTAGAAATTAGGGTTTAGGGTTTAGGGTTTAGGCTTAAGGGTTTAGGGCTGCTAGGGCTTTGGGTTTAGGTTTAGGCTGCTCGGAAGCTTTGTAATGAAAAAACATGTTCACCCGGTCTTGCGTGCATGCCCCTGAACCCTGAACCCTCTACTACTAGAGGACAGTGGGACTGCACAGTTGGAACTTGGAACAGTCGTTGAAGCGTTGTCCAGGACTAGGGTGCACAGATTAGCCCCGCCATGAGGTTAGCTGTGCTTCATCTACGCTAAGGCTTAGCATGAAGTTGAACAATAAGCACTTTTAGGTGCAGTTAAAACACCAACCTAGGCAAACGGAGCTCTGGCAAGACCACCTGAACTCTTCAGTAAACTTTCCCCGTCTTGAACACCAGTAGGTCTGATGCATTAGCTTGTGCACAGAAGAATCTATTTCGAGGTTCACGGGTAGTTATAGGTAGGAAGGTGGCCTACTATAGTATGATGACATAAGGCCTGACCGCGGAGAGGTTACCAATTGTTCTACCCTGACAATCAATTTGGCTTCTGTTCCCATAAACGCTAACATAGGGGCCTTAACAATTAGGATAGGGTTTTTGGGCCCATTATACTATAGTTCTTTTAGGAACCCCCCCCAAAATAATATTGGTATAGCCAGTTTAGGCCCTTAGGCGCCTACATTAAACCCTAAGCCGGCCAAGTCACATGCTCGAAAGCTGCAGCACTGCCTTCTGCCAGCGACTGGCTTTCTCGCAGACCGTCCTTGCTCTGGAAGGCCCCAGAGCGTTTGAAGGACCCTAGAGCCCCAAATTTACAAAAACTGCATCCTTAGGGTTGAGGGTTGAGGGTTTAGGGTTTGGGGTTCCGGAAACAACAGCCAACAAAGAAGACTCTGAACTGTAAACCCGAACCGGGAACGAAGGAAACTGAATCCTAGACCCTCGGCCAGACACCGATACACTTAAAATCCAGACGCCACCCATTCAACAGATGCACCAAAAGGCGGCCTCCTACAACCCATCTAGCACCCTGACCCTAAGGCTCACAATAGCCCAAAAGCCTCATGCAGTAGGGTCTTCGGTTTAGGGTTTAGGGTTTAGGGTTTAGGGTTTAGGGCCTTTGGGCCCAAGAGCCTTCACAAATGAGTCCCTCTCGAGCCTCTGTGAGGGTTCTGGAACCCTCACAGAACTCCTATAGAATCCTCATAGGACCCTTCCGGAACCCTTCTAAAAATCCCTAAATCCCTAAACCCAAACCCCTATGTAAGCCCTATAAGCCCTAAACCCTACACCACTAAGGCCCTCAACCCCAAACCCCTAAACTTAAACCCGAAGCAGCGGCCCAGGGGCATAGCAGAGCTGTAGCTGATCACATCTGGTCTTAGCCTGCCGGGAGGCCTCAGCTCAAGGGTCTAAGGTTTAGGGGGTCGGCTTTAGGGTTTAGGGTTTAGGGTTTAGGAATTTCAATCATTCAGAGTCCTTCTTCTTAGGGCCTTTCAGGTTTTCGGGTTGTTGGGGGGATTTAGAGGGTTCGGTGCTGCTTGAGGCCTTTAAGGCGTATAGGGTTTAGGGCTTAGGGACCTTATAAGGGCTTAAGATTATTGCCTTTGAGGGCTCAAAAAAGGGTTCCCCTAAACCCTAAACCCCTAAACGTTAAACCCTAAACCATTGTTATAAGGGTTCTTTTAGGGCTCTTCCTAAACTTATTTATTGAGTTCTTTAAGGCGATACGGGTTTTAGGGTTTGGGGCTGAGGGATTCTATCAGGGTTTAAGATTTCCACAAGCGATCTTGAAGTGCTCCTTTCTAAACCCCAAACCCCCTAAACTTCTTCTCAAGGGCTGAGGGGCTTTCGTTTTTGTGTTGGGGTTTTTGGCTTTAAGCGTTTTGAGGTTTAGGTGTTTGTTGGGAATCGCTTTGCTTGCTTTCGGGCTGTTTGGGGTTTAGAAGTCCTTCAAGGTCTACCCTGAGGGTATATACTCTCCAACATAGTGACCCACAGACCTGCTATATCAAACCCGAATACCTAAGTATTGGGCGCTCTGGGCCCTGAGCACCCACATGAGGCGCAACTGAAATCCTCTTGACCCTTTATAGAACCCTAAACCCCAAAAGCCCTGAATCCTAGATCCCAAAAGCCCTGAACCCTAAACCCTAAACCCCAAAAGCCCTGAACCCTAAAGTCCACACCCCTAAACCCTACACCCTTATAGGAGCCCCGAAGATCTCTCTGACCACTGGGCCCTTTGAGGAAGGGAAAGTACTGGTCCCTAGGCTGTGAGGATCCGGTTTAGGGTTTAGGGTTTAAGGGCTCATATCTTTAACCCTAAACCCTAAACCCTAAACCCCAAACCCTACACCCCAAACCCCAAACCCTGAACCACCAGATTCCCTGCGCAGATCCCGCCCTTAACCCATAAACCCCAACCCCCAAAACTACTCAAACCCCCTAAAACCCCAAAGCTCCCTAAAATTTTTACCAACACTCGCTCTTCC